GAGATGGGAGTGTCAGAGACAGTGCGATTGGCACAGGACAGAGCGGAATTTAGGGCTGTTGTACATAGGGTCGCTATGAGTCGCAGGCAACTCGACGGCACATAACAACAACAACAACATATGCTTATGTTAAAAAAATAATCACACTCAGTCAAGCTAGACACTCTTACCACTTGACTGAAGTTGCTGTAAAAAGAATAAAGGAATAGTTGTATCATGGACTTAAGGAAAAGACATTAAATCACTTAAACTTCGTCCTAGTTTTATAACTCATCCGTGTGTGTGTGTGTGTGTGTGTGTGTGTGTAATGTCAAATCAGATCTGACTGGTCAAGGAGGAGATTGCCCCACCTTCACCAGCTCAGAATCTGGTGAATTCAAACTATGTCACTAGGCCACCAGAGCTCCCTTATAACTCATTCTTTAAAAAAAAAAAAATCCCTGATCCATTTGAGGATTGTGGATTGAATTAAATTTACTGCACTTGAATCTTCCCCATGTTGTTGCTATGGGCCCTCGAGTCAGAACCAGCTCATTCAGAGCTATCCCACCAGCAGTTCAGTCTTCACTATAGCAGTTCTCAAAGTCCTGTTAAGACAGGACTTTAATCGAACTTTAGTTGAGATTCCCTTCCCCTTTAATTAGGATTAAATAGAACAAGAAATCTAGAAAAAGAGAGGAAGCCCAAAAGGGAGCCCGTTGTTGTTGTTATTGTTAGGTGCCTTCGGGTCATAGACGACTCATAGTGACCCTATGAATGAAAGGCCTGAGCACTGTTCATAGAGTTTCCGGAGGCAAGCCATTTCGGAAGTAGATTCCACTCCTGCTTTCCAGCTTATTTTAATCAGGAAGCTCCACCAAACACTGTCCACCATGGGTAACCATTATCGTATTTGGCACATCAGTGTCACAGTGTTCAGCATCACAGCAACCATGAATTACCTCTGTAAAGCAATGCACAGATCAGTGCTATGCCACTTAGGAGAATGTTTGACAAAAACAACTTAGACCAGGCCTGAGGGCTGCAGATTAAAATCACCCACCTTGGACTTGGTAGCATAACTTTCTGTCCACTAGGCCAACGTACCTCTCTCTATTTTGTCGTTATTATTGTTGTTAGGTTTCGTCGAGTCATAGACAATTCATAGTGACCCTGTGAACGAAAGACCTGAGCTTGAAAAGATGAAACATGTCAATGTTACATTTTCCATAAAATTAATTTGGATAGAGCACAGATTTTTTTTTTCCCCTGTGAGTTGTTAGACTTCATGCTTGACAACACAGCAATATGTGTTTTACGTATAGCTCTCTAATCAACTTTAAACTTCAGAACTTGCCATCTGATTTACTCTGTATGTGCATGTGTGTATGGGGGGGGGGTGTTGATGTATACACACACACACACACACACATGCAAACGGAGCTCTGCTGGCCTAGTAGTGAGTAACTGCACTGCAATCTCAAAAACATGCAGTTGGACCTGCTGCTCCACAGATGAAGGATGAGCAGTTTCCTTCTGGATGAGTTGCTGACTCTGAAAACCCACTGGAGATGAGCTGAGTCAGTTCCAACTCATTGGCACAAAACTTATAAATACACATGTACATCCATAGGGAGTTCTGGTAGCCTAGTGTTAAGGAGTTGTGTTGCCAGTCCAAAGGCAGATGGTTCAAATACACCAACTGCTCCAAGGGAGAAAGATGGACAAGCTCCTCCTATGTGATTGATACAGATATTTGTTTATGTGTATTCTGTGTGTGTATGTGTGTTGTGTATGTGTTTGTTGTTATGTGCTATCAAGTCAGAACCAACTCAGATCTGACCCTTCAACAAGTTTTCTGAGCCTGTAAATCACACAGGATGAGACTGTCCATCTTTCTCCCTTGGAGCAGCTGGTGGATTTGAACCACTTGCCTTTGGATTGGCAGAACAACCCCTTACTACTAGGCCTCCAGAGCTCCATTGTTGTGGCTAACTAAATGCTGTCAGATTGACTCTGATTCATTCTAATCCTGTGAACAACAGATCTGAACTTTGCCCTGTCCTGTCCCATCCTTATCGTCTCTGAGAGGCTTGTTTTTATGTGCTGTTGAGTCAGAATGGACTCATAGCTCACATTTCATCAGGATTTTCCAATCGCATGGGAAGAGATTGCCCATCTTTCTCTGATGGAGCAGCTGTCTTAGGTTACAATCCTTACCACCAGACCACCAGAGCAATTCTTGCATTTAAAAAAAAAAATTCTAATACTGCCCTAAAAAAGACATTGTTAAACTACTCTTGTATCTCTTCTCTTTCTAGAAGTGTTCCTAATTTTATTAGCTCTCTCATATCTGAGTATATGTTTTAAATAACATTGTAAAGTAAAACTGAAATATCAACAGAAATGTATCTCTTAATTTTGTCTTCCAGAGTCTCTACACAAGGAAGTACAGGATTTGGCCTTCCTAGATGTTGTGTCCAAGCTCCGCAGTCATGAGAACAAAAGTGTTGCCCAACAGGCCTCTCTCACAGAGCAGAGACTCACTGTGGAAAGCTGAGACCTGCCCCTGCGGACATGTGGCCTCATCCCATCTTGATTTCCCCTTCGTCCTCCATCCAGCTGCCTCTTCCACTTCATTCTCTACCATATCACTTTGTGCATGCGTGTAATGTTCCAGTACCAATTGAGGAACTGCTGTAGGTACCTGCCCATAAGATTTCTAAACCCATAGTTAGTGTAAACATGAATTTGTCAAAACCAAGTCGCACCCATAACTGTTCTCCTGTATTCCTGTTACTTGCGCTACATTAAGTAGAACGTGCATGTTTTAGTCCTACAGTAAAGTTGATACTACATACTGACTTGCTCCTCACACTTGGTAACTCACATAATTATCTACTGATAAATTTAGAAACAAAACAGAATGCAGCAGAATCTGTCTGGCTTACTAAAGATGGAATTGAATAGAAAAATAGCTCCATTTTTGGTGCTTGGGAAGCACAATGACCAAAAACTGTATGTCTGCTCATTCATTAATTTTATCTACTAATGTCAAATCCATGGTACCTAGAGTTAAATAAAATTCCAGTGCTCTCACTCTTTACCTTATGATTTCTCCTTTTTCCTAACTATGTAGGTTATTGAAACTGCCACAGACTTTATCAAGACTTTCTGAGATATTTTTTATTCCATATTTGATTGGGCTGTCATCAGTAGCTTGATGTTGAAAACATTTAGATTTAGTGCATCTTGATTTTTTTAGATTCTGGTATATGTTTGTTTTCACCTCAGAACTTCTTCCATCATTTAATTAGCATTGTCAAACCTTTGTCTTTAAAAGTAGGTTGACACTTGTTTCCAACTAAGGAAATTGAGTATAGTTCATTAGGGATTTATTTGCTGTTTTTCATCATTCAGCTTTTAAAGCAAGACGTTTCATCTTTCATAGTCTTTTTAAATCTTCTATTAGAACTAGCAGGATGAGAAAGATAAGAAATAAATCTGTGTAGAACTGAAGAAAGGAAGGCAGGTTATAAAAGCCATAGTGTCCAGTCCAGTTTATTCTGCGGATGACCCCTTACCAATAGGTGTTAGTGTTCACACCTCCACTTTCCCAATGAGAACTACAGAAGACCTTAAAGGCTTTAAGAAAGAGTGACAAAGTTAAGCATCAATATGGAAAAGACTCCCTTGGTAAAAAAAATAGTGTGCTCTTCACTGCCACCACTACCACCAAATGAGTTTTAGAGCTTTGAAGTCATCCTTGTAAATGAAACAGAATATCCCTATGATATACCTGCCTTCTTCTCATGCCCAAATATGACAAATACTGGCTTAAAAGCAAGATTGCCTCCAACATTGAATGACTACAGAACAGTTGAATTGACTGCCAAGGAGATGTCAAAGCTCTTTCCTCTCCAACATGAGATTTTGCACATCTCCGTAGGGTGATCCATATTGAACTTTTGACTATACAGCTATAACTCAAAGCCCCAGTGGCACTAAATAACCTTTTGACTGTTCACTATGATGTCCTAGAAAGGGACGATTGTGAGTGCTTATGTCACATTTTAGGAATGCTTTTGTTTATTGTCTTCTGGACTGGATAGTGGACTATATTTTATTACAGGTTTTGAAAGGCATCTGTAATGTTGCATAATAGGTTGTCCATATTAATAACTAAATAAATAAATGGTATATCAAACTATAATGGCATCATTTGGTTTATTTTTCTATTTTACCTTTATTTCTTAGAATACTGCTTATTCATTGTTATTGCTCAATAAGCATTTGTGCACTGAGTGAATTAATTACTAGTTGCATGAACCTTTCAAACTGCTTGAACTAACTCTAGATTCATTGACTAATTAAAATTTAGTATGCCCAACTTCAGGAACTTTTTTTAATGTGTAGTAAATATGTCCTTATTGAATAGGATCAACAGAAAACCTCAGATCAGAGCATCCTACAGTTGTAGAGTTGAGAAGCAATATCTTTGATAAGAACCATCATCAGGAACTCCTAGTATCGAACAAGACAAAAATCCCTTTGTTCTTTCTTAAGCTTTTGATTCTAAAAATGAAACCCTGGAGAAAACAGCAGCACACTGAAACTTGACTGTCCCGATGCCAAGACTAGAGTATAGATGAAAACCAAAAATGAAAAGCATTAAAAATAAGAGACTGAGAAAAACTGGATGAAATATGTTTACCGCATTGAAGTCTATGGGGGAGAGAATAGTCTAAAAGTGTTATATTTTAGGGCATTATTTTTATCGTAGGAGTATGCAATGAGGGTTGCAGAGTGGATTATATTTGGGGGTAGGGGGTGGGGTTTGGGGAGGTGTGGGGGGGATTGTGTACCAATGAGGGAGTTTTTCTTTTGCTTTTCAAGGAGAGGAGCAAATGGGGGGGGAGGGGGGAGGGGTTTGTGCGGGGAGAAGGGTGCAACAATGAATGAATGGAATCCCAAAATCTCTGTAGATGTTCACTGAAATGAAAAATAAACAACCTAAATTTAAAAAAAATAATAAATAAGAGGCTGGTAGAATTAAACACATTAGAGTGTCTCCCTATTAAACTATTATGCTTTTGAGTTAATTGCATTTCATGATGGCCTTGTGAACTTACCTTATTGGGTTTTCAGGGACTTATTTTCTTCAGAAGTAGATTGCCGGGCCTTTATTCTGAGTAGATTTAAAGCTCCAGCCATTTAGTTAGCAGCTGAATGCATTAACCATTTGCACAACCCAGAAACCCAGTCTCTTCCATTATTTTCTTGGACTCTTACTACCTGCCTATCTGTAACTTCATTATACTTAAACCAAAATGCATCAAACATTGGCCCTTCCTTAATAGAGGTTTCCTTGATAAAACACATCTTAAGCAAACCCTCTGATAGTAGTGGAAGTGTGAAAAAAGGTTTTTTCCGTTTTTATTCTTTGTTTTCCCCTTGGATGAACAGAATGCAGTTCTCATGCAAGCTTTAATGTAAAATGTTCTGGGAAACCCTGCAACCCTGCATGAAGAAATGTCAAAAGAGATGCTCCTTTGTGGCACTGGAAAGTTAGTGTTTAACATGTTCGTTTTACTGATTGTACAGGGTAAAGAGTCTAGGTACTAGGTGAGCATTTTTATATCCAACTCTAACTATAATCAGTAAACTTAAAAGCTGCTGTTTAGCTCTTGGAAACTGTAGCATTTGAATGATACACGTTTTTATTACATACCTATGTAAACACATGGAATTTGTCTACATACGTTTGTAGGTGTGTCTCGTTAAAATGCCATGGCTTCTTTAAAGGGAACTCTGGTGGCACAGGAGATTGTGCTGTAACCCAAAGCTGGTGCCTCTCTGGCAGCTTTAACCCAACAGCAGCCCTGAGAGAGAGAAAGATAGGAAATCTCCTGTGGAAAATCCAGAGATGAGTCAGCTGGGAGCAGGTTCCACCTGAACAGCAATTAGAGAGAAATGCTTTAAAAATAGGAGATCGTGGGGAAAAGTATGGATACTGTTTGATTCATAGTCACATCTTGGTTCTTTAGACAGACTCTGGCCGTGTGACCGTAGACACGTTACTTAAACTCTCTGGGCTTGGCTTCTCATTAATGGGATAAGGTTCATAATCAGAGTTTTGTGACAATTGAAACTTTTCATTCCTTCTTCTCAAATGTGGCATAAACAGCTTTTCATGTCCTCAAAATTGTCAGTAAATCCTGATGGTACTAGTAAAGAAGCAAGTAGAGTGTCTAAACCATTTCGAGTGAGAGCTCAGCTGGGAAATTAATTCATTCCCATTTATGACCTGGAAAACTAGCTCTCACCTTTAACCTCAGAACATATTCTTGGAACTTATCTACTGTTCAGAGATCAGTGGTTTTGCTAGTAGGCATGTGTGCAATTTTTGCTTTTATAAATATGCTTAATAATGGAGAAGGAAAGAGATCTAGTGGCCTAGTGGATAAGGAGTTAGATTGCCAACAGTTCAAATCCAGCAGCTGCTCCTCAGGAAAAAGCTGAGCAGTCTCCTCCTATTTCAGCATCTGAAAATGCACTGGGAGCGTCAGCTCATCTTCCTCAAAAAGGTGAAAAGTATAAGCCATCATGCTTTGAAGCTTGGTACTTTCTAGTTTTACATTTTCCAAGAAATACTTTTTAAATCTGTATTCTATTTTGTTATCGTAAAGAATTTTGAAACCCTAACTCACTGTCTTCTAGTATGTAAACTTACATGTAACAGTATATCTTTATCTTTTGAAATATATCCTCTGATTTCAGTTGAAAGGCATTACTATAGCAATACTGACATTTATGATTGCCAGCAAACCTGGACAATTCTGAAGGAAAGAATCTCTGACTATACCCTCAAATTACTGGCAAAAATTAACTCCTATAATTATGGTCACCTCAAACAAGTGGATTGACACAGTGACTGCAGCAGTGGGCTCAAGTGTGTCAGAGATTGTTATGACACCAGATAGGATGGACAGAGTTCAGGTCTGTTGCTCATGGGGTCGCTAGGAGTCATACTCAGCACCTAACAGCAACACCCATGATCACTCTGAAATTTGTAATTAGGTGATTGAGTGCCATCAATTTCAACTTGTGGCAACCCTACATGTTAAGGCTTCTTTGTTTGCTTTGCAAGAGTAGATCACCAGTTCCCTCCCATGGCTCAGGTTTGGGATATAACTGCCAGCCTTTCATTTAGCAGCTCAGCAGTTAACCATCCAACCGCCAGAGCTCCTTTTTGTAACTATATTCTCTTTTGAAATAGATTGCCCTTAGTTCCCGATTTTTTTTTTTTCAGTTTGGTTTGGAAAGGAGCTACCATGTAAAGCCTAGACCCAAGCTTGGGTCTGGATGGGTATGGAAGAGGCTGAGAGTTCCTGTTAGAGAAGCTCAGGTGCACCCCTGTCTTTGGAGTGTCCATGCACTTAGATGGAAACCCCTTCCGCTCTAGGACACTGCACTAGCATCAGCATCTTCCCGTCGTTAGGAGGACCAGTAAAGGCCAAACCACTACTGATCATCAGTTCTCTTAGACTCCATTCAATTTCTTGGTACTCATTTCCTCCCCTAGTGTCACTGTGGACACACCAGACAAATGCCTAAAATTACTCAGAACTTTGGAATCAGGATGAACAGAGGGGGGAGATATTAAGTGGAGTAACTTTGACTGTAGAGTCATCTCTGCAGGAGTTCAAGATATCTGGAGTTCCATTTAACCCATTAGATCAGACAATTCTTTCCCTTTGCGCTCTTCTTTTCAGGTTCCAGAATGCAGACCACTCTCCATGCCTTTCTTGCCATGCCTTCCTTTTGTGTGTGGGTAAGAAAAGTAGGGGCGCAGTTGTTAATGAATCATATTCTGTTCTTTTCACCCACACCTCTCATGCCCTAGTACCCAACAGAAGTTAGAGGAGATGATACAGCAAAGTTACCATTCAGCTTAATATCATGAGTTAATAACTATTAAAGCCCCTGCCTCCCCCTCTCCTATTCCTTACCCTCTCATTCCCCTGTGGGGATAATTGTGCAATGTGCTGACTTCCTCTGAGCCCAAGAACTGGGGAGGAAGATGCATGCTGATCTGAGCAAAGCATCTGCTGGAAAGTAATTTCCTGTAACTATGTGAAGAGATATTCACCGCACTGTGTGTACATGCTTTAGAATGGATAATAATCCATGTCTTGTTAGGCTGTGATGAATGGCTGAGGCAAAGTTTTAGAATGATGTCCC